ACAATCCAGAGTAAAGGTTTTTACATCTAAAACCTAATCTTTTTTTACTGTAGTACACCATCAATGCCTAAACACTATTTCTGCTGTAAATATCAGTGATGTCGTTCATTTAGATTCCTGCCCACATAAACCCTCCCGCTATTAAAGTTATTATTGCCAACAGTCCGATAAACACAGAGAGCTAAATGACAGGCAGTCACAGACACTCTTTGAAGGTCAATTAAAACCTCCACTTTTTAAAAAAAAGTTGTGGAGGAAACCTTTGTCCACGCACGAAAAACAATCTATCTATGTAGAGAACATGCAAACTGTAGAACACCTATCCTATAGCTTTGAGATAAGATTACTAATCTGATATTGACACATTCTGTTTAATATCCAGTACTAGAGAAATATATTGTTTCATAACAACATGCAGGAAACCAAAGACACATCCAGTGCTGCTACACTGTGGAGGCGCCACAGTAGATCCATCCTTCTAGTTCCTGTTGCTCATTTTTGCTGCTCCCCACAAGCTCAGCAATTTATATCATTATTTGTTCACTTTCTAATCTGCTCAGTATGTATTTATTTATATGTATGTATATCAGTTCTCGTGTCTGCACAGATATTTGTGGCCAAAATGATACGTACTGCTAAAGTTTTTCATCTATAAACCAGACTTAAACATACGTATACTATATACTATACATTTAACTTGAGTATTTATTTTTTTCTTACCTAAATATCTAGTTTCCATAATAAAGAAAGTTGTTTTCCCCCTTTTTTATTTTGCTATACATTTCATATTTGATTTATTTTATTTTTTTTACTTTCTAAAAATTTGTCTGCGTTCACCTGCAAGTTTAATTGTATCACTTTGCCACTTTCACACCCAAATTTACCCACAGTGGGACACTAAAGGTATTTCTTATCTTTAGTTGCAGAACACTCAGCTTGACAGATAGACCCCCTTTTAAGGTGATCTTAGTCATCTAAAATAACTAGAAATGAAATATCTCTATACCCATTAGACTTATGTTAAATCATCGTTACACGTGCTGTTGTTTTTAGAGCATCTATGTCACTAAATTTAACTCCCCTTGTTTAACTGCATCCGAATCCACTACAACTACTCAGTCATATCTATGCCCACCAAGAATGGAGTAAACATTTCAACTTTCCAACAGGTAAGGACATTGCTATAAATTCTCAATGTTAGTTGTTGGTAAATTATTCCAGCATATGGACAATGAGCTGATTTGGATGGTACATATTGATACAGCTTCAGTATAAGTTAGGTAAATAGGACATAACAATCTACAGTACAAACACAATAATCATCTCAGTAAAAAGTATAGGTGGTTAATATTTACTAATACAGAACATTTTCAGTTTAGATGAAATCCATCTACTACTGGACAGCCACATTTTGATATAGTCACAGAATCTAAAAAAGTGTCGGCAAAACCTTTTCCAAGTCTATATGTCAGATTTAAAGCTACAGTGTGTAATAATTACAGGGATATACAGTCAGAATTGTAATATATTATACATAACTATGTTATTTATCATCATCTACGAGCTCAGCCTCTTAACCTTAATATTTGCGTTGCCTTAGAATTCGTTATTTATAATTACATAGGAGCGGGTCTCGCAGCCATGGAGGCAGACATCTTTGCGCTACGGCAGCGCAGAGCCAACAAACTAGCGATTGCGAGATCGCCCATTACGCTCGAAAGAAACTACGGCAAGTTGAGAGAGATGAACTGAGACGATACTGAACAATAGATGGCAGTATTAAAATTATCTATGTAAACAAACCTCATCACTTGAGAAGGTAGGTGATGAAGACATTTTGTCCCGTAACGCTCGCCGTATTGTTGGGGGGGAGAAGCGGGGGGGGAGATGTTCATGTTGCTGCGGTCTGCAGTCTGGACGTTAGATGTCGCTGAAAATTACACACTGTAGCTTTAAGTTGGTTTTACTTTACTAGGTTAATGTAGTTGTTTTAAAATTGTTTCTTTTACCAATAATCAGCTGACCAGATGGGTTTGCTGGTCCAGCCCATAGAAGTCTGACCTAATAGCAGGGATTTTAGATCACTTTTACAAATAAGTTCCAATAATTTAGTGGGGACCACATACCCAGGTCGAACAATAATTAGCACCTTTCACACATGCAAATTACTCCCAGTGAATTACTTTGTGCTTTTTACACTTAACACAGCAACGGCGTAATGGATGTCACCTGCAGGTGGCAGTAATACAAAGGATACAGCCTTAACTGAAAAAGTCAACCCCAAAGAAGAACTTCACCCAGAATTTATGTATGTCCAAAAGCTGATTAGTAATAACAAACAATGGATTTACAAGCAGGGGTTCTTAAGGTTGTTAATAGGGTTATGAAAACAGCTGAAAGAATTCAACTAGAGGATGACCTTGTAGTACAATTTTTTTCTGTGATGCTGTTGTTGCAGAGTTTAAAGGTATAGAGGCCGATCTTTTACTTCCGGGTGGATCATCTAAATAAGTGGTCCTCCTAATTGTCAATCATTCTGGTAATATATTTACGTAAGGCCGTCCTACGAGCTCGTGTCAAGTCAGTTATAACTGGTATATATGTTCTGGATTTATTCACACGTCCATACTGGATAATGTATTAAGGCTTCATATGGATAACATAACAGTAAAAGAACTCAGGAAAAGGGTAGTGTGAATGTGTTAAGTTGGTAATATTGGCCCATAAAGACAAACTGTTTTAAATGAAAATGATAAATTGTAAGGGCAGTCAATGTTTAATTCAAATGTCTTCAGTTTGAATAGATTAGCTACGGCTAAGATTTGTGAACACTTAGCAGACCACCTGTTAGTTGTTCACCTCTCTGAGGACTTCCTATTTTATTTACAGAATAAACTTACTGCAATATGATCTCTTTCTGTTACAGGTAATAGATCCACTGGGTTTTCCAGGCAAGGGTCCAAGGGCCCACACCTATTAGGGCCCACCCCTGTGATTGAAACCTTAGGTTCTAGTTTTAAATATGAAAGAAGCAAATAAAAAGAAGCAGACTTACAGTGTTGTTCTTACATAACAGATCTATACAAAGGGTCAGGGGGCAGTTATGAAAACAATAGTAACCTTTGCCTCCTTTATCCAGCTTTCTCTAAATTAATCAAAACTTAACTTTCTGATTTTTGAATTAGTCTGAATTGTAGATCTGCATGGATGAAGGTGAGCTTAAGAAACACTTAATTACACAAACCAGTGAGTTGCACCACTGTGTCTGGAGTTCGACTGAGTTTTACAATAATGTGGCGTAAATCTGTGGACAATATTCCCAATCCCCTTCCAGTAACTTGGATCACATAGTCCTCATTTGTTTTTCCTCACCACTTTGAGGGCATAACCAAGAAATAAATAAAAGATGATGATTATCATGTGGTCTCACTTCATCAGTCGAACATGTTTAACTCACAAAAGAACAGTGGGACTTTTTATCTCGCTATAATGGGAACCAGTGTAATGTGACTGACAGCAGGTAATGAGGGATTTTGTCAAAGTGTCCGCATTCGAGTGCTCTGACACCAGAAAGTTTAAAAATTGTTTTCTGCGCAGCAGGCATTTACAGCTCGGTCATGCATCTACAGCACTGGGCTGGCAGCCGCAGATACTGTTACACATTTCTTACTGACAGCCACGACCTACGCTGGGCTGATCGATATGCAAAGAGGTAGTGGCGGGGGAGGTTGGGGATTGGGGTCAGGTAAAAACTGAGATTTAAAGGGAATGTGGATGAGAATAAAGGAGGAAGGAGGTTAGCAAGAGGGGGGACAGACAGAAAAAAAATTTGTAGTGAAAATAAGATTGGGCTCAGCCCGGTCTCTCCCAGCTGACGGCTTCTTGGTGTGGACATCGAGGACGTCTAGGCTTTCAGGCGCACAAGTTCAGAGGGTGAGGCAAAAGGGGGAAAGGGGGGACTCGCGCTGCTGGGACTCCCGTCATCCCTCAGCTAAAGGGTCTCTGGGTTTAGACACTGAAGAGGGTATTAGCTTTCACACACTGCTGGGGTAACAGGGGAGTCTGCCAGATGTCAGCTCCTTACCAATAAATCCTGCTAAATGGGCAGCAGACCCGGTTATAGAGGAAGGCCTGAGTGGACGTCAACTCTCTATCATTCGCCGCTCTGTTTGTCAAAACCAGAACTGGGCTCGTAAATATTTGATTTCACTCAGCTGATGGCAATCCTTCATTCCCTGTTATTTCTCATCAGAACAGTGACTTTCTTATGGGAGAGTGTTCTTGATTATGTCAATTTCCTGTGCTGGATCAGTCTGGCAGAAACTCACACTTACCGAGGTTCACCTTTTTGCTTTAGGTCTTTAAAAACGCATGCGTCTTTTATATTAAGCTTTTTTCATTAGTTTTTGTATCTGTATAAAAATGTAGCAGCAGTTACTTTTGAATGACTTTTGGTCAAAACTTTGTCATTTCCTTACAGTTTTTTTTTATTTTTTTTATCTTACACACTGTTTTGGACAGATTGAAAACACTCTTGGTGATAAATCTTCTTCTGTATGAAACCTCCTGTAAACTTTAAATTCCTATTTTTCATGGTTGTCTGAGTTGCTGAGGAAAGACTTGGGTCCCCCTGAGCTCTCTCTAACTCCTGTGTCCGGAAAACAATCATGTATATGGAGTGCAAAGGATTTTTTAGAAACCACATTGAACTTTAAAGACAGCTGGTCTTATAAAACCAACCCCCAGCAGGGCAATATTGCACGGTTATTCACCCTTAAAAGTGGACTCTAAACGAGGTTGCACTTTTAAAGAACCTCAGGGCTGCTGAGGTTTATTGGCACAGTTGCTGATCTCGGGTCAGGCTTTAACACAAAACTGACCTCACTCAACGGCCCTCCGCTATGACCACCCTGATCTCCTTATCATTCCAGTCACAATGAATACATTCTGATTTGACCTTCTCAGCTGATATCTCTCACACTTGCTGTTTTTCAGCTCACCATTTTCCTCTGGTTGCTGAGGCAGAAGGTACAGATGTGCTTAGGCTGAGCCGACTGGTCGGATCCTCTGGTGGGGGAGGAGCTGACGTGGAAGAACGGAGGCGAGGGGGCGTGGCAGGGCTGTCCGTCATGAAGACCTTCGCCAAGGAGCAGCACGTTCCCCAGGTGGCTGATGTAGCTGCTGGCCAGACGTAGCGTCTCGATCTTTGAGAGTTTCCTGCAGTCCGGAAAGATTTATTAAAAACAGTAAGAAATAATACTGGTACTAAACCTACGGTAAAAAGTTTTAGATATCAGAAATGTCTTCATTGTAGAATGTTTTATTTACTGCTGGAAATAACAAATGCTTATTCAGATTTACAAACATGAATGAAAGCTGTGACTCCATACCTGTCGGCCGGCTCAGTGGGAATGAGCGTGCGCAGCGCCGTAAACGCCGTGTTGACTGAATTGGTGCGATCTCTCTCACGTGCATTGGCTGCGGTTCTCTGGCGAACTTCCCCAGGAGGAGATGAGCCTGGGGGCCCCAGCCTGCCCGTCAGGTTAGAGACACTTACACCTGCACTCCCACACATCTTCCTCTTTCTGTTCACCTTGATGTGGAAGGCAGACTGGCGAAATGATGCAGAATTGGAAGAGTTGCTGGTTCGGTCCTCAGAGCCTGACCCCTCGCTGCAGTTCTCATCGTCGTCTTCTGATAGGAGGCCGATGTCTCCATACAAGAAGCGGCCGGCTGGAGGTGGAGTGCGTAGCATGGCAAAAGTCATTTTTACCTTGATGAATTCGGCAGCAAAAAGCAGTGGAGCTCCCAACAAGTGTCAATTAGCGTTTGACAAAGTGGGCTTGGCTTATAACCCTCGTTAGTAAAACATCAGCAGGTTGATCTACAGATCAAGGCCAGAAAAGGTCAGTCTTCTGATCTGTTGCTGCAGGTGCATTCAAATTCCAGCTCTGCACTATTCTTCTATTATCTACTCAGAAACTAAAACCCATAACACTTCACATCACCAAAGTCTTTTAAAATCTTAAGTCACTCCTTTACGAATAATACAGAACTCAAAATAGCACCTGAAGATCGAGCCTTTTCTTTTTAACGTCTCTTTTCTTGTTTTATAACTTCTTTCTACCTGCTTTACTTCCAAAAGCCAAACTAGTGTAGACTGCTCTGTGCTGGCAGCTTTATGCTCCTTTGCTGTCTTCTCCCTTGTCCTTTCTCGTTGCCTGTTTGCTCCACATGTGCGTGCGGTCTGAGTGTTTCAGCCTGCCTCTGGGCTTATATTTTGAGGGAGGGCCAAGAGGACTGTCATGCTCCTCCTCCTCTGAGCCCTCAGAGTCCCTCGGCTGCTGTCTGAAAGCAGACCACAGAGACCGAAGGCAAGAGGCGAGCCATCAGCAGGAGTTTGTTTTGGCTGCATGCTGATCCTTTCCAGGGGATATCCACCCAAAAACACTGATTGCATCACCCTCAGAGACCATTTCAGCTCTCCATCCAGTTAAAATGAATGAGGTTTACAGATAAGATGAACAGATAAAACACTGTCAGCTGTTTGGAGTAAAAAATCCAGCAAGAGGGGCCAAAGGAATAACATTGAATCTGTTATAAGTTGTGACTAAAATGTTTTAAAATGTCTTTGATTTCCCTTTTTTTTATCATTTTGTTTAAGTCTGTCTCTTAGATGAATTGTGTAATAAAGAAAAATGCTTTCCCCCAAGTTTGTCCTGTTAAATGAAAAAACAGACCTTCAGTAATGGACATTAAATGTCATGTTTTGCTCAGCTACATTGTTGACAGTGATTAAGTATTGACTGTGAATATTAAATTAAGAGTTTGCTTTTCTAATTGCCATCTTTCATTCACTCTTCTGTCCTCTTATATGTTTCCCCTGGACGTTAAACCAAGGGGCGTCACATCCATTAAAGCTGGCCGATCAGACTGAGCTTTAAATAAGTTTAGCTAATGGATTAACTGAGCCACAGCCGAAGCTTTTTGAACTTCACAGTTTTTGACACTAGAGGGCCTAAAGTTTATTATTTAAATTGATTTAGATTTAGTGCATTTAACAAGAATCTAACTTGGATCATTATTGATCATATTCTGTGCTTACACCAAAACCTTCTGTCTTTTCAGATCAAGAGTCACCTGCAACCATCAGAACATTCTACAGAGGAAGGCAAATAATAATGTGGTTCTCATTATTTCTCCAGATAGGATAGCAAATCAGAAGTATCAAATCAGTAAAGAGTCCATCCGTGAGTGTAATTGATCCTGAAAATAAATACGGATGGTTTTCTGAAGGAATTAGAGGTTTCTTACAAGATTGTTTAGCAGATCTGCAGCCTTAGCAAGAAACGGCTGACCACTTAAATTGGCAGGCTAGGCAAGGAGAGTTTTTCTTTTTCAAATTCGATTCAATACACTTCAGTTCAACTGAACTGAATCTAAGTTCTGTTCAATTCAATTAATTCAAAAATAACATTATTCAAACCAAAGGGTAAATTAAATGGGCTCATTGACAGGTGTTGATAGCTGTAGGTATGGATCTTCTGAATCAGTCTGTCTTGCATCAAATCTCGTGAAGATTTTGACTGAAGATGCTCTGTTATTGTTTAAGCCTTCTAAGGAGAATGCTGACTGTCGTCCCAAATGTTCTTCATAATATAACTAATTCTTCCCAGTGAAAAAATCTCCAGAGGTCTAAGAGGAGTTCCTAGAACAGAACGAGCCTTCTTTATCAGCTTGTTTATCTTCATGATCAAATACTGTTACCCCAGCAGATGATGGGAGGAGATCACACTATCAACAACAGACTGAAAAAGCACAATACATGCATCATGCAATATGCACCATTTGCAAACATAAGTTTGCAAATGGACCTAAGTTTCCTTAGGAAATACAATCTGCTCGGTCCCTTCTTGTACACGGCTTCATAGTTGTGTCTTCAGTGTAGTTTCTTATCCAGGTGACCACCAGGGTATCATATTCTACCACCTTCATTTCTTCTCCCATTATGTTTATAGGATTCAACTTGTTTCCGTTTCTTTAGACATCTCCATATTTAGGATCAAATGATTTTATCCACACCATGTCACAAAGCGGGTCTATAATTCCCTGTACTCAGCTTCTTGTCCATCTCCAATAAAACCAGTGGCTGCAGTTAACTGAGTATTTCTGCAGTCTTATGCTGGAAGTCGGAGGCACGCAGAGTAAAAAGGAATGGTGAGATTACTGTCCCCTGTGTTGCTCCTGTGCTACCTACTATCTGTTTAGCGACTTGACCCTTCTGTTTGTCAGGTAAACTTTAATTTCTTACAAAGTAAGTCAGGCTGGAATTTGTTGAATGCACTGGATAAATCTAAGAACATGATTCTCACAGTGCTGTCTTCCTTGCCTAAGCAACAGTGGGTTTGTTGAAAGTGGAGGGAGCAGCACCTTCTTCTGATTTGTTTGAGAAAAAATGCATAGAAACAGGAGGCTTCATGGCAGAGATGGTAGATGAAAAATTAAAGGTGTGAGAGCAAGGCCTTTGGTCAAAGGAGAGCATATCTGAGCTTACTACTGAACTAAACTAAATGAAGAATAGGTCAGTTAATGAGCCTTGTCTAGACGTTTGTCTCTCTGATCATCCTTCTGCTGGAAGCCTTTGATCTTCTCCATCCCTTGGGGAGTATTGGCCTAGTGGTTAGAGCAGTGCACTTGTGCTCTAAGAAGATTGCAAGTACCTGGTCGCTCCCTATAGCCTGCACTCTGGGTTCCTGAGTGAAACCCTTAACCCTAAACTGCTCCCCAGGCACCACACAATGGCAGCCAACTACTCTGCAAGTGGATGGGTTAAATGCAGAGAGTAAATTTCCTCATTGTGGGACAATAAAGGGATTTACATCTCTGGTATTGTTCTGCTGGGGCTTGCCTTCCATCTTCTTCCTGTATAACACTTAGCTTTTTTCTCATCCTAACCTTAAGTTGCCTTTATACACTTCTAAATAATTTCCTCTCCTCCGTAATAAAGGCTCTTTTTTATTGTTTGGATCACAGGTAGTCCAGGGTATACTATTAGGGAAACAGCTCACTGTTCTGGTGGTGTTATCTAAGCATAAGTATAAATAGCCAGTCAAACCTTCAGTCATTGCATTGATGTCCTCTCCATGTGTCTGACACAGTGTACCCTCAAAACAACATTCAAGTCCCAAAATTCTCTCGATCGCACCAGAAAAATGTAGAGAGCTTCAACTTGAATGGGAGAATCCGTGAGCAGTACAGCAGTAAGTTCAGCACTGAACCATTGTGAAGGACATCCAAGAGTAGGCCATTGTTTAAAGGAAGCCATAAGACCAAAACTAGTATTTATGACACAAACCATGTGCAAAAAGGGGTTGTGTTCAGATCAGGTCCATGTTGAGCCCTTTATCATTCATGCAAAGTCTTATGTGTGATGGAAAACTGTACAAGTAAAACTGTTCATCTTCCTCAACCTTTTCCTAAAGGTGAAACACAATCATGGCATCATGCTGATGAGACAAGGAATGGATTAAGATCCAGGAGAATCCAAGGAGATCTTAGGGTAGAGGTTCACCTTCCATCATAGCAACAACCTTGAAGATAATGCAGAGATGAAATGTCTATATTAACTATATTAGACCTAAATCTAATGGAAAATATTTTGCCAAATTTGAAAAATGCCTTCCTAAGGTGTTTTCCATAAAGTCTCTGAGTGGGCAGAAATGTCCCTATTTAGATGGCAAAGTTGTTCTATACTGTGTGTGCTACTATACCACATTGACATCCAGAGAAAAAGCTTTAGTTTGTGTTTGTAACATGAAAAAATACATGCTGATGGGTATGAGTACTAATACAAGACACACTACATTAGGAGCTCAGTGTTTTTGTTAAAAAGATGAGTTTTCTTGGATCCAAAGGATGTATCTTCATCTTCATTTACTTCCTAAAGCAATATGTGTGGAAAAGAAAATGAAATATGATTGAGAAGGAAACACAAAATACAGCTATCAGACAAGAGCGGAAATCTTTGGTTTTATCTCCTATTAGTGTTTAGCTGCAAGACCTTACCATGATTTTCCGTCATTAAATCAACAATGATTAAACACTGACAGCAGATATAAAACCTAGTTACGAAGTCCAAGATCCTCAGTAGTACCTTTGTGAAAACCCTAACCCAAGCTGCTATTGCCGGTATGCATCTTCTGTGTAGTTTGGCAATAGTAAGGTGCTGCTGAAAACCAATGGCATAATGAATAATATGTGAGTTACACAATGTTACGGTCAGCATTCATCACTCTCAATTTCTCTGTCGATTTTTCCTCTTGCGTCCACACTCTCCCCCCTGACTCCCAGCCTATTTCCTTGTGTCTCAGGCGTACTGTTTATGCTGTGGTATTTAGTTTAGGAACAGAAGCCAGTGTTGGTTGCAGTGGTTGATTTCAGCACATACACAACGCACTTGAAACACTGAGGAGGGCGGAAACAGTATGTGGAGGTCAAAGCTTTGTCTCAAAGTGAAAAAAACAAACAAAAACAAATTGAAACAAATTTCCTTGAGTAGTAAACACATTTTAGGCGCACTTAAGGCCATCTTTTTAAAGAACTGAGAAGTCTTTGAGCTCTAATCAGAAATGGGTCCCCCTTGTTAACCACATTCAAACATAAGCAGCCTACAACACTTAGGTTGAAGTTACAGTCCATTGCCAAATAATCAATATTTAGGTAAAGAAACTAACCAAAATGCATTAAATACTCACAGTCCCATTTAAAGCATCACTACTCTTGCAATGGGGGGAAAATAGGTGCAACTAATTCAGTAGACAGTAGGCTTTAGGTTCATGATACATTTCAGAATCACTTGAATATAATGGTTCTTCTTGGCATGTTTGACATAAATGGATAAAGGCAGTTAAAGCAGATGGAATGTGAAGCAGGATACGCCACTGAATGGACTGCGTCAATGAGGTTCTAGAGAATACAACACATGAAATTTCATCTGAAGGGTTTCAGCTCTGGCTTGTAGACAAGATACTGTAATGATGGAAACACAAGCTTGTTAAACAGTTTATTTGGATTCTCCTAAAACATTTAGAGGGTAAAATATCAAGCTAGCCTGTAGCCATCACCCACTCACCATGATTAAACTTCCTTCAGCACATTTTTTATCTACAGACAATTTGTCAACTCAGTATATACAGACACTGTTTTTCTATACAGTTCTGGTTCTCTGCTCCATGAAATATTTTTCCAACCCAGCGTCACCCACTGTGG